GCTTCATGCAATGTTGTTTAGTCGCTCATGTGACTGCGTTTAGCTGAGAGCTTGGCTTGGAGAGCCAAGATAGCCCTACTGACATGTCTGACGGTTGGTGCCGGCTGTTGGCGGGTGCCTCTGTTTTCCCCCACGTGCCTCCCATGCCCCAGGGCCTCTCACCATGCCATCTCTCCAGTAGAATAGCCAGGACCTGATGTGGTTGTTGGCTGCCAAGAAAGTAAAAATGGAAGCTATATGGCCTTTGAAGGCCTCGTTATAGAAGCCACATAGCATCACCTCTGAAGCCTTCTGTGGCCCAAAGCAAGTTACAGGGCCAGCTCAAAGGGTGGGGAAAGAGATTCTGCCTCTTGATGTGAGAAATGGCGTAAGAGCCCAGGGATGGGAGGGATTGTTATAACCATCTTTGAAAACAACCTACCACACTCATTGTCCATCTAGTTCTTTAGCCTGAAGAACAGGGCTTTAGAGCTGGAAGGCTCCTTAACCATCATCTGACTCACCCCCCACCCCAGTTTTACAGATGTAGACATGAAGACCTGGCAAGTCGAGCTCTTGGCATGAGCCAGCACACTTAGTGGAGGAGCCGGGCTTAGCCCCTGGCTTGCCTGGTTGCTGCCATTACCTGCATGTGTCATGTGTTTTTTGTGTCATGTGTCATTGCTTTTCCTCCAGCAGAGGATGTCACTGCTGAGTTCCTTTCTGACTCAAGACTGTCCCTGTTATGTTGGGAGACCACAAGGGTGCAGAAGAAGGGAGGGACCTGCTGTTCCTTCTGTTTCTGTGCCTGGTACCTGCCTTTCTACTCCTGGCTCCTGGGTTGGGCAAGAGCATCTTCAATTAGTGCTTTGGCCTCACTGACCGGCACTGACCAGGCATGCCTTCCTTGGAACATGAAATGACACTGACTCACCACATGCATAAAGAGTGGCTGCCTAAACCCCACCAAGTATTGTAAAGTGAAGCCCAACACATTTATGTAATATTGTAGTTTATTATACAACANCTGGACCTTTGCAAAACAGCGACCCTTTACCCCTTAGAAGCAATTTCTAATGCATTAGCCAAATGACTGCAGCTGTTTCTGAAAAAAAACCTGAGTGTTTAACTGAACTTGAATGCATAGGACGGCTTTTCAGAGCTGAGTCTTAGATGCTCCTGATGCCTCTGAGGCATGTTCCCATTACAGAAGGGTTGATGGTTATGGGGGAAGGAGATTTGAAGAACATCTAAATTCATCAGCGAAGGAGCCATTAGGTTATTTTCACCGTGTTTGGAAATCAGCATCCTGGCACTTGGCTGAAATAACCCAAGGCCGAAGGCACCATAACTTGATATCTAGCAAGAGGTGATTGCTCTCGCAGATCACTTAGCGCTGGCAGAGATCAATTTAAATTGTGAGACAATGAGGACTGCAGAAGTTCCAATCAGCACCATAACTCCCGCATTGCACCAGCCATACTATGCTCCGGAAAGAGGCTTTTCCGTGACTGAACTTCGTGCTAAAGCACAAACATGGTGCAGAAAGCCAGGAAACAGCTTTAGAAAGATGCTGTGCTAGAGGCTGTGCTAGGGACGGGCACATAAAAATGGAAAAAACTTTGTCCGCGACCTCAACTTGTTTAATGCCCCAGTTAACTTTGTGTAACAAAACACCCCAAAACTTAGTAGCTTAAAAAAATGATTTATTGTTTCTCATGATTCTGTGAATGTCTGGGTTCATGAGATATTGGGTTGTC